AGGAGGGGCAAGGTGGGACCGTCCTAAGTAGAGAGGTCTGACGAGGTGACTTCTGCACTCAGAAGAGAGGAGGGCCTCGGAGGGTCCTTCCTGCAGGCAGAGAACCCACTGCTAACACCCCGAGACCGGAAGAGGAGACTGAAGAGGTTCAGACCCTGGGAAGGCACAGCTGAGATCCCCTCACCCCCAGCGCCACCCTCAGCTTGTGACCTCTGGCCTCTGGTCCCTAACCCTTTCTTTACTCTCTCTGGGACTTGCTCCAGAAGAGTGCCCGTCCTCCACCCAGACCCCAGGAGCATCGAGGGAGCATCGCGACAGTCTTAGTCCAATTTTCATCATTACGAAGAAGCCCTGAGGCCAGAGCGCCACCCTCAGCTTGTGACCTCTGGCCTCTGACCCTTTCTTTACTCTCTCTGGGACTTGCTCCAGAAGGGTGGCCTCGTGTAAGATCGCTCGGCGATCGGCAAGACTGGGCCCTCAGCCATGAATGCGGCACTTCAACCTCCCAGTACTTGATTGGGGCAGGACTGGGTCCCAGGGATCAGGAGTCTAGAACCTCGCTCTAGACACCTGCCTGGGGGTTGTCTGCAGGTGGCACCACCTGGGGATGCTGAGGCAGGTGTAAGGGGGAAGGGGGAGGGCTCCAGGCAGGGGACAGGGGCCACCACCAGAGGCAGGTGGGCAGGTGTGTGCTGGAGGTCCACCGTAGACCACTTAGGACTCTGGTGCCTTAACTGCCACCAGCTGACCCTAGGTAGGCTTTTCTGTCTACTCCTACCACGTTCTCAAACACGCTTCACTGAGTCTGCCACTGGGCTGCGACAGAGAGTTCAAAGACCTGGAGGCTGGCCCAGGGGATCTGTCCAGGACTCAGAGACAGGACGACAAGCCCTGAGGGGCTTCTGCAGAGGCAGAGTCTGAGTGGGGTGGGGTAGCACCGAGGGTACCTGGCCCAGCAGGCCATGGCTGTAGCTCCCAACATGTGGGTCCAGGTGCTCCCCTTGGCGGCGGGGCTCTCCAGCTCGACTAGGAAGCTGAGCTGCTCACAGGGCTGCCCTTGGCCCTGCAAAGTCCTTGTCTCTGTCTCCCTGAGGATGACTGAGCAGGGGCCACACTCCCTCTGTCATGTAGTTACCAAAGCCACCGATTTCTCCTGTGGAAACCTGTTCCCACCCCCATGGACCGACTAGGACTTCAGCCGGGTTTGGAAGAGACGCCGACAAGCTGATGACAGCATCGTGGACTGGTCCTGGAGTGAGGCCCAGAGACCCAGCCCCTTGAAACAGGTGCTTCTAAGCAGGAAAACGGACCACATTCCCTCTCGTGTAAGTCACCTGAAATGGGAGGACCCGGGGACAATTTGCTTCCAGGCTCAGACACACCATCCCTCCTCTCTGGCTGGGCAGAGAAGGGCCTAGAGTGAAGAACTGCCCCTCCATGCAGCAGGGCCTGAGGGAGTTGCAGCGGGGAGAGAAAGTTGCAGATGCCAGAGAGAACAGTCCAGTCTGTGGTGAGTACAGGGCAGGGCCTCCCCTAATGGGCAGGCAGGCTGGGACCCGTGGCACACCACCCTGCCGGGCACTGAGGGGTCACTCAGCGCTGGAGGTGACAGATCCTGTGCCCGTCCTCCACCCAGACCCCAGGAGCATCAAGGGAGCATCGCGACAGTCTTAGTCCAATTTTCATCATTCTAAAGAAGCCCTGAGGCCAGGTGTTCATGAAGAAAAGCGGTTTATGAAGCTCCGTCTGAGCCCGGGCAGATCGAGACGTGGCGTTGCATATGGCTGGTTTGTGTCAGGGTGTCGCCGTATCGATATGGCCGAGAAGCCGAAGGGGAGCCCGGGGCACGTGACAGAGAGCAGGAGAGGTGACCTCACTGGGTAGCCGCCGCTCTCGGGGAAAGCCAG